CGCGCCCCGTTTGCGCAACGTAGGGAGAACCCTGATAGTAAGTTCCCGGATAGTGGAGAAAGGTTCGTGTTGAGAATAAACCCAGTTTGGAAGTTCTAGTCTCTGAAAATGCACCAGCAAACCGGCCCGAGTGATTCACTCGGGCATTCCTCCGCACAAAAGGATAGGGAGACTTTGTAACCCTATCCTCATGGGTTTGGGTTACATTATTGTATCTACTGTCAGTATTGCACATTGAATACACAGTTGTGGGGGAAAATAGCATTGAGCAATGGGTCTGGCATGCAAGTAAAATCTGCCGGACATGACAAGAAAAATTGATTCGGTCCGACGAATTTCCTATTCAGTGTAATCACCGTACAAATCTAATCCTACTAGTAGTAGCGATTTTTCAGTCGCGCATGTACCTACCGCGAGGGTACACGTATCTTCCGTTTTCGGCGGAAACTTGAAGATCATTTTGCTGCCGATCTTTTCCTCGGAGGCATTGTGAGGACGCACCCTGCACATCACCTTGATCGTGCATTCGTCCGCACTATTCACGTTGTCTCCCATTGTCGAGTCGGATTATACGCGATAGGTAAACAAATTGGACGCGATAAGAACCGAATTTCACGAGTTTTTCTCGTCTTTTTATCACACGTAACTAATTTTTAGGTCCGCCATGTTCTTGTTGAAAACTTTGCCCTAGTGATTTACCGCTACGTTAGCAACCCTGAGCTTGCATTGAATTTTACGATATGCACACAATTAGACTTAACATCACCACTACTGCTACTACTGTTAGAGCAGGAAGCTTCAACTTCCGTCGTGCGTAAAGTAAACACCAAGTTGACCGTATTTCATTCGCACACATAAATTACAGGTTGACTTTTCTGTCAGTTGCCATTTTGGATCGCACGGTCTGCCGGGAATTTTGTTGCGGTGACGTCATCCACTACGGCGCCACGCAGCCGCCAGACAGAGTAGCAGCAAGTGATAGGAAGGGGGCAGCACCTTACAGTGAGTAAATTCCTCGTGGAAAATAGTTAATGTATACGTATATAAATTTGTATAAAATACATATAAAATTCATAAATAGATATATACTATGTTTATGGCATAGCTGGTGGTGGCGATTTTAGTTTGAAATCTGTAACGATTGAGGAAAATTATCATTTACAATTATAGAGAAAGCAAGAATTATGGAAACAATCTCTTCAACTCCTTCTCCTCTTCATCTGTAGTGCATTACGTAACGTGGGTATAATCGATGCGTTTCAGCTTTATTGATTTATCAATAGATCGATAATTAGATAAATAAATAGATAGATAGATAGATAGATAGATAGATAGATAGTTAGATAGGTAGATAGATAGATAGATAAATATATAGATTGATAGATAGATAGATAGATAGATAGATAGATGGATAGCATTAAGAATTAGATAGATTAGATAGATAGTAGATCAGATAGATGTAGATAGCATGATAGTATTTAGATGATAGATTGATAGAATGATGATAGTTAATATGATAGCATAGATAGATGATAGATAGATAGATAGATAGATAAGAATATGATGTATAGAGTATAGATAGATTATATGATAGCTAGTATAGATAGATGTGATAGATTATCTTCTACAGCAGT